CCATTGGGTCCCACTGGCCGGCGAGGCCACTTCTCAGGAATGCACGTGTCGAACATCTATTGTGGCCCCAGGGGGTTCCCACATACAAAGGAATGGTCGCACCAGTGCTGGGAGCAACAGAGAAGAGTAGTCTGGGGAGCAAGAAAATTATGACATCGAAGAGCAAATAATGTTAAATGGAAAGAAAAGAAAGAAAGAGAGAGAGAGAGAAAGAAAGAGAAAGAGAAAGAGAAAGAGAAAGAAAGAGAAAAGCCTGTAATTAAGCTGTAGGAGTCCTGCAGGCAGATGCGGAACAAGAGGGGACCCAGGGCCCAGGCAGGGAGGGACGTGCCTGTCTCAGGTAACCTGGGCTGCACAGACGCCCTCCACACCGTTCTCAGGCAGCTCACTGCAGGACATGAGTTACTGCTGGAAGTAACTACCTAGAGCACAGTGGCTCCAAACAAGTTCATCTGACCTGCCTTTGGGTTGACTGGGTCTCAGTGACCAGGGGGCTCAGCTGGGTTTCGTGGCCAGCATGGCTCTTTGACTTGTGTCTGCTTCCTGGGTGCTCCTCTCTCACCCACCAGGGCCTCTCCCCGTGGGTGGGCTGCTCGCAGCAGGGGGGTGGCACGGTGGTCACACTTCTTATGGAAGGCTGTGCTGGAAGAGGCACGATGCAGAGCTGCCAGGCCAGCTAAGGCCTCTGGTACTGGCACAGGGTCACTTCTGCCACATTCTATTGGTTGGAGTGGACACAAGCCCAGATTCAAGGTATGGAGACACAGGCTCCATCTCTCGATGGCAGAGGGCCATGACGTAATGCAGATGTGCGTGGACCAGAGCAGTCATGCATCCGTCATGGGGAGAGGTGTGCACATGAAGCTCAGCAAGCAAACAGAACTTCTGGGAAGAAACCAACAAGCTCTTGACGTGATTCCTAGAAGTCGTTTCAGTCACAGGGACTGAACCCCAGGGACACTTTTAGAGGGCGGGACGGTGTCGCATCATCTGTGGACCTTCCACAGCTCTCACGTGAGCCTGGCACACGGTAGGTGTCCCATGAGTATTTGTTGAGAGGACCTGCAAAGTGCCAAGCAGAAGGGCAGCCCTTCTGGGAGGGCACAAAAGCTTGACCTCACCCCACATGAAGATGGGTCGAGTTGGCAACAGGTTGTGACGTTCACTAGGCCCAGCATCTAGAACTCCACCTGGTATGCAGGAGGGTCTCCATAAATGTTTGGTGAGTGACTAAATGATTGCATGGACTCAACTGATGATGAATACATCTCTTGGTAAGCAGTGTCTTGGCCTTCCGTAGACGCTCCCAGAAGGTGGTCACACCACAAGAGCTCCCTCTGACCCGGAGAGGGCACAGAGAGAACAGCTCAGCCCAGGCTACCAGACACACCCACCATGATGAGAACAAATGACTCATCGGCCACTTGAAAGAGAAGTTTCATCGAAGCTCCTGTAATCCCATGAGCTGTCACAATTTACAGGTGGGGAGACAGTGGCTCAGAGACGTAAAGCCTCCTTGGTCGGCAAACTGCTGTGTGTGGATCAGGAACAGGTGAGTGTGTCTGTTTCAGCTCAACCCAAAGGGCTTGCTGTCATGGGGCCACATGAGCCGTCACGGTGCAAGGGGAGGAAAACAAAGAAAAAACTCCCCCAGCGGTGGCCCTGCCAACTTCCGGGCTGTGCCCCTGCACGCACTCCTCTGAAAAGTTTCACCTCTGGTTTAGCATAACAAAACTTTTAATTTAGATGTTTTCATCTCTCTCTCCAAGTAAAAATAAGTTTAAAATAATGACTGTAATAAATGAAGGTAATTAATTGTAGTTTGTTCCTTTACTGTCTAGTCAGCTTAATTTTACCTTTTCAACTAATAATGAGAAAATAATTTTTGCGCTCGGAGGGTTAATGATATGTAACTGCGAGAACTGCTAATTGCATGTTGCAATCCATCCATCAACAACCCCATCTGTGCGACTTGATTATGTTTGCTAAATTATTGCTTTGAATTATCTTTCATAAAGCAACTTTTGTAATTAGCGGGGCTTTCGTCTTGCTCTTTTCTCTGTGAGCAAGGATATTCAGACTTTGGCCATTTCAAGCTGTCTCCATTAAGCCACCTTCTTTGGCTGTCTTTGTTTCCTTGAGCAGGGGAATCAAGGCTGGCCTGTGAGCAATCAAGGCGGAGAGGAAAAGCTTCCTTGATTCACAGCAGGGCAAATTCACTTCCTCTCCGCCCCCTTCCCACCAGCACACACACAGACTAAAAAAAAAATAAGTAAATACAAGGCCCACACTCACATGTACAGCATGAAAAGATAAAAGGGATGCCCAGATTCTGTGTGCGCCATGGCAGGAAGAGTGAAATTGAGGGATGAACTTGAACACTTTCCATTTTCAACAAGAGGCCCGCTCTGGGGAAGAAGGAATGCCCTGTGGCGTTTTATGGGCTAGTTTCTGGGACTAGGGAACGGGTTGCCTTGGGGAATATCCCTGGGCGGCGATTAATGTGCCCTGGGGAATCCTCAGCTCTGAGCCGAGGGCCTGGTAGATCGTGAGAGGGAAGTGGCATAAAGGATGAACCCTCATTAAAAAAATTAAAATGAAAAATCGGATTATGAACGGATTGTGCGCGCGCAGTTTGTTCTGGGTGAAGAGGACGCTTTCGTGAACAGCACCCTTCTGTGCTGGCGTGTCTCCCCTGAGGTGTGTGTGTGTGTGGGGGGGGCGAGACTGCTGCAATGGGTTAGTCAATAGATCACGAGGAAAGCAGGGGTTTCAGGAATCAAACTCCAGACAAATATAGTCTTTTTGGTACATTAAAGGGACAATGGAAAGCCATCTTAAGAAAATTAATGAAGTTCTTTGAAGATCCCCAGCTATTACAACAGTGTCTATTCAACGAGCCAAATAGGTTTGGAAATGAGAATTCAGCTTTGTCTCTCCTTTTGGCCCCACTAAGAGTTTCTCTCCCCCACCACTGACTATCAGCTGTGTGCCAGACACCCTGTCAGCTGCCTCGACTTAGTTCTTTAAATCCTTCCTGTTAGCCACGTTTGCTGGAGAAAGCCAGATGTAGCCCAGAGAGGTTAAGAAACGTCCCCCAGGCCACAGGGCCACTGTAAGCGGCAGGGCTGAGACGGAAGCCGGACCTACGTCCTATCTGCCTTTGCTTCCCACCATCCTGAACATGGGTCTTCTCTGGATCATCAATCAAACCTAAGGTTTACCTCTTTCTTTTGGGGAAAAAATGACACAAGTCATCTCTCTTTTCTACAGGGACAGAAAGGCTCCTTCTTTTGGATAAAAAGCCTTAAGCACCTAAGAAAGAGGCATAATCCAACCCTGATATAATGAAGGCTAAAGAAGCGAATGTTGGAGGTCATTGGTAATAGGGATAATAAACAACCAAGACTTCTAATACTCAAGGCAATTTTCTAAGCACCCCATGGACATTAACTTAGTTCTTCCTCAATCACAACCGTAGGAAGTAGGTATGATTATCATCTTATTTTACAGATTCTGAAACCGGCACAGAGGGGTCAAGTAAGTTGCATAAGACCAAACAGCTAGTAACTGGCAGAGGCAGGATTCGAACCCAGGTATCCTGGAGTCTGTGCTCTTCGTGCCAGGCATTACACGAAACCCTTCCCCTGCATTATATCTCAGTTCATTCTCAAAGCAACATGAAAAAAATCGAGTGTCTGTATGCCCATCTAACAGGGAAACCGAGGCTCTAAGTGCCTAAGAGGAGCTCCGCCACACCCAGCCACATGACGGAACAACTGGAAAAGTAATGCTCTGTACAAAAAACTCAACGCCAGCCTCCGGGCTGAGCAGAGGGATCAGCTGCCTGAGAGGGCTTGTGCGCTGAGTGGCCCCCACGGGACCAGGAGCTGGCAGATGGGGACCGCTCTTTTACAAAAACACAAAGCCATGACAACACATTCCCGACATTATTAGTCTTCTGTTTTTCTTTTTCCCCTTCCCTTCCAGCTCAGGCACCTCACAACCAAATGAATCAATACTGAATGGCCCTATAAATAAATAAGCATATCAGTCAACTCAGTAATAAAACGAAGGGATGAAAAATATGGAAATCAGCGACATTTGTGTAAATCCAGTTACTGTTTACTTTAATATTGCCTTATACGCGTATGCAGTTGCAAAGAGACAGATCTAAAGTAATGCGGCGCTTGGCGGACAACAGACTTAAAACGCATCTCTGCTGGTGGGCGCTGAGAAGGACCAGTCCTTCAGGGGCCCTGCCTGCATCCCGGGGAAGGCGGAGACGAGTCCGTGAGGGGGGCACGTGAGAAACGGCCCCTCCTGCCTCAGCACAATTTCACTGTTTTCCTAGCCTACCTCCTGCGCCAGTCAGACAAGTGGGCACTCTCAGAGCCTTGGCCACAAAGTCAAACCAAGAGGAGAAGTGGGGGAGGTCAAGCCCCATCTCAGGGCTCCGAGCAGGCAGGAGAAACTGGCCGAGGACAGCTCAGCTGTTGCCAAATGAAGTGGGGCCCGACGGGTGGGACAGAAAGAAGGGGAACAACGCCGACTGTGTACTCAGAGGGTGGGTTGGTAGAGAGGGTTTCGGAACAGGCAGGTAAGTGCTGGGACTTATCTGCAAGGCTGCCTTCTTCGAGCAGCAAAGCTGAGCAGAATGCTGGGGGAGGGCAAAGGTTAGCAAGTACAAGCCTCCAAAAATGAGAAACTGGCCTGGAAGGTGAGATGGCTTGTTCATGGCCACGGATAGCGTACCTAGCAGAGCTGGTGCAAGGCTGGGCAACGTCTAGGAAGAGGGGGATTTCCTGGGCTTGGACACAGGAATCCCACTGAACCCAACAGAGAGCCCATACTTATCACAACACCACTGTCTGACCTAGAGGGAGTGGGGTAGAGAAGTTCCTCCCAAGCTTCCAGAGGCTGCTGGCCTCCTCTGGCAACTCCAGGTGGGACAGGAGACAGAACTGGGTTTGGGACATGCCAGGGGCCTTGAGTCTTACCTCAGCTTGGAAGCTTTTTAATACAGGAGCCACCATCTCTCTGATTTCCTGAAAAAGAGATCAGTGAAGAGTTCACCACAGTGCCAGGTGGGACAACCTTGGCCCCTGACTGCAGCTCACTGTCGCCCCCTCGGTCAGCATTCCCCAAACGTGTCCTGTGGACCCTGCACTCAGTGGCACCTTGAAGGGTTCCTCTTATACACACCTACACAGGGGCACACACACACAGGGGGACATATCAAGTCCGACTCCAAGTCTCTTCCCTGCAGGACTTTGGGAGCCTGTGCTGTAATACACACGGGGAACTTCCGGCAGAGGGACAGTGGAAGTAGCATTTCTCCAGTGGATTTGATCATGGAATCCTCTTTGATGCGAAGGACCTGTGCGGTCCTACTGGTGGTCTACTGTGGGTACGCTTTGCACTGGGGACTGGGGAGGTGACCCCAGTTCTCCACACCTAGGGTTATGCCACCAAAGTCCCTTCATGAAAACCCTCTGTCCCTTCCTTCTGTGTGGCTCAGGGGCTGTCTCCGTCAGGTCGCCCTCCCTGCCTCCCCGCCCAGCACGTCAGCCACATCACACTGTATTTGCCTTTCCTTCCTCAGCAGAGCACGGGCTTCTGGCACCTTGGCTGGGTCACCCCTCCCGGCACCCAGCTCAGAGGAAGCTCCGTAAAGGTCTGATGACCTCTGTGACGATCGGCTGCCTTTGGAAGGGAGCCTCCTATTTCCAGAACCTAATTTCCTGCTTTGCACAGTGACCCTGAGGTTCCAAGTCTCAAGGGTTCCCCCGGTAAGCTCCCAGAAGTTCTCCCCAGTGTGCAAGAGAGAGGGTTTTAAAATCAAGTGTCCCAAGATCCCAACCCCAAATGCTCCAGTTCCTTGTGAGCCCCACTGGTGACTTGCCCTACTGCCATCAGCTGGGGCCCACAAGAACGCCCCCCCGCTGGGAGGAGGAGCTGGGGGCACTTGAGAGCATGGGGAGGAGGTGGCAGCAGAGAGAAGCAGGAAAGAAAAGAGAGGGGCAGAAGAATACCAGTGCTCAGCTCAAGAATAAGGTTGTATGGCTTTTGCCCTGGGGGAAAAAACCCTCTTCTGGGTCCTGAGCTCCCCTCCTCACTGACAGACGTGTCCCCTAGGGCTTTTCAGGGCTGCGGATGCACAGACGTGTGCTGGGCATCTTTAGAAGGGACATAGGGAATGCGTGTGAACCTAGTGGATTTGATGGCAAGAAACTACAGCAATGGAAAAGACAACGTAGGTCAAAGGCTGTCAGCCAGAGTGCCGTCAGATGGGGAAGTGGACGCAAGGGAGGCAGGCTGGGAGGTCCCACGGCAAATTTCTGAAGGGAACACAAGCCTAATGGGGGTGGCAGCTGCTCAGCTCTGTGTGGCGACTGTCACATGGGCATGGAGCCTCTGTGTGGCCAGATCTACCGAGCAGTCTCAAAGATGCTGGAAATCCAGGTTATTGGGTAAAATCTCCTGAGATGCTAAACACTGGCAACTCACTGTAAAATCTGTGAAGCAATAAAACACTTGGCAGGGCACCTCTGGTTCAGGTTCAGGATATGTCAGTGCCAGGAGGGACTCGGGAACAAACTCTCCGGTCTCCTGAATTTACAGACGGGGGCCTGAGGCCCCACGGGGGGCTGGCTTGCTCGAAGTCCTGAGTGGCATGCCTGGAACCTGCTGTGGGTCTACAGATTCCCCAAAGAGGCTTCTTTCAGAAGCCCACGCTCAAGTGAGTTTAGGGGATTTGAGTGTGAGTGAGGCTCCACAGGGAGGGGTTAGCAGGACTCGGGTCCAGTGCACTGTCTGCGTAAGCCCTCGGGGGAGAGGAGCAAAGGCACCAGCGGGCCGTGAGCTGGCCACCAGCCAGATGACGTTCTTAAGGAAAGCCTCAGCACGACTCTCCCCATCAGGAGAGACGAGCTCCAAAAATGAAAAATTTCAGAGGCATGACTATAATAGGAATGGAAACTTATTCCTCCTAATTACATAATTGCATAATTATGCAGTATTAAAATTATGTAAGCTGAACTCAAGGCTTAAAACCTGGCCTGGATTTCCCTCCTTGCCTGGGCCCAGGGACGGGGGATGAGATGGAAGGCTACTTTTCATCTCTGCTGCTTCCCAGAGGCTGGAGAGACAGAGGCAAAGCCTCTGGTACTCATTCTGGGCAGAAAAATCAATTGAAAGACCAAGCTGTTCTCCGTTCTAAAAGGGAAGGGAAAGTCGCTCAGTATTACCATTCCTAGCTCCTAGAGTCAAACCAAGGATCGTATTTGGCCTTTCTGAAGCCACGACATGGAAAACAGATCTGAGATTCCTGCCCCTTCTCTAAGCACACCTTTCCTAAGCTCTCAAACCTTAGATTCCTGCCAGACTTGCTCCCCGGCCAAGTTCTAGTGAGATGCTACTTCCCTCTCTTGCCTTGAAGAATCAAAGATACTCATGACTTGGGTGAGGAGGATTTCACAGCTAAGAGATTGCCCACGTGGCCCAACCCCTGGGTGGGCCTGCATCTTCTCCATCCCTCCACGGACCCCTCCTCCATCAGCGAGATGGCAACAGGACCCCCAGAAGATTCCAGCAGGCAGAGTGGAATCAGCACCTCCAGGTCTGATAGCAGGAGCTTGCCTCCTCCGAGAGCCAGGCTGCCTGAGCAGGTGTGGGCAGGCAGCCCAGCTAACCTGCTGGGAGGAGTATAGCCGGCTCTGGGGGTGGCCAGGGCCTCCGTTTCCCATAGTGGCTCTGAGGTGCCACCCGGCTGCCAACATTACATGGAGTCAGAAGGCTTTATTTTTCCTATCTGTGTTTACTTTATCACTAAAAAAATTGAGAAGCAACAGGGGGCCGGAGAGAGGAGGGAAAGGAATTCACACACTCTCCCCTGTAAAGAACAGAAACAAGTCCTTTCTCGCCCCTTCTCCTGACGGGGCCCTTACATTGTTTAGGGCTGGTCATTATCTGGACCACCCTCCTGGCAGCTGGGAAAGACAAAGCTGGTGGCTGGGACTGTAAGGGACGGGGTGGAGGGGAAGAACGAGGCATGTATGTGGGGGTGGGAGGCAGTTTCAGAGATGGAGGGAAGGACAAAGCGGGTGGCTGTAGCTGTCATCTCTCAGACGCCAATGGAAAAGCAAAATAAAATCAAGAACTCCAGACAAATAGCTTTTGCCATCAAGGCCAAGCATTTGACTTATGTGAATGTGGGGAGAAAATGGATGTTTTATAGAGCCCTCAAAAACAATGACTTCGGTGGAGAAGCATCCTGCCCTTACTTTAGACAGCGCCGCTGAGCACCACGGGACCAAGAAACCCCGAAAGGTTGGGGGCCGTAATTTTTCTCTGGGGCTAATTAGCTTCTTTTCTTGTTAGTCACTTATGTCTACAGTTTTCAAAATATAGTTTGAACAGAGAAAAATCTGCATTCCTACTGAGTTAATTCTGTAACAGCAAATATACTGTACCTCAGGTACATTTTTCTTAAATTCCCGGCGGAGTTCAATTAAATGTTTATGAGAATGTTCACTCTCCTCCTGCCGTGCAGACAGCTCAGAAGCGACGGAATTAAGCTCCTTCTGGAACAATAAAAGAGAGAGAGAGAGAGAGAAAAGAAAAAGATTTTTTCCTCCTTTTCCTTTTTAATCATCATACAAAACAGTATTCCGAACAAGTTTTCTTAACTTACAAAGCTGAGAAAAGACAGGATATTGACTCCTGGTACAAATGAATAATTTACGAAACTGGGATGCAACCAAAAAAAAAAAAATCCAGGACAGCTCTTTTTGCTGGTCTGAAGACGGGCCAGATCAATAATCTCCCATAAAGTTGGGTGGAGTTGTTTTTTTTCATCTCTCCCCCACCCTCCTGCCCCACCTCTTAAATTTCCAAAGGAGTGATGGCATAAGCTTGTCAGTAACTGTAGAAAAACATCTCCAAACCGTGTCAAAATAGTAAAGTGCGACATATTGTATGGGCATATCATAGTGGAAGAAAGTGCTGTCGACAGCTTTCATATATCAGAGGTGGGAACTGTTCCAACTATGACTTACTTACACTTAAGGGTTCATAAATACGCCTTTTAAGATATAGATGGCTTTTTAATTTCAGTAGATTTTGGAAAAATGAAGGTGCCAATAAGAAGCAAGCTGACCTTTTGTGTATCCTGCAGTAAATCATTTAAGGTTCACTTCAAGTGTAAGAAATATTTCACTGAAGATGCCCGGATTCAGGAGAAATGAATTAGGAGGTTGCCTTGCTAATGTGCAATGAAGGCACCAGGCCAGGTTTTTACAGGACATGCCATGGAGGGGAAAGAGAGCGAAGGGCGGAGCGGGGGTGCTGCGGCTCGCACACAGCACGGCCAGCGTCTGCTGGCTGCACATGTGTATCCGATCACTCCTTTTGTAGCTTTCTTCCCTTTAACGGTGGCAGTTTCACACGGGCAGTACAATTCACCATGAGTTGTCATGGGTTTCATTTGCATAATTCAAGAAATACTCTGTTTATGTGGTCTGCTGCCTTCTTGCACCATCCCAAGATGGGCTTTTTTTCTGGACCATAACTCGAGGAGCATTTCTGTATTTATCACCCGATTATATCTGCAGCAATCAAGCCCTATAATTTCCTAAATCCGGTGGTGCAATAAATTTCTGCAATCAGATTTATTAAAAACACACACGCAGATGCAAGGGTGCATTTCGAGGGTGAACTCTTTAATCTAACACATGTATGATGAGGCCCAGCACCGTGTTGAAAGACCCCATTCGTCATTGCTAATATGCATTCATCTTGCACACACAATGAAACACTTTTACCATTAGATAATGAAATAAAAGTACTATTAGCCGCTGCAAATCCTTTTCCCTCTAAGAGACAGAATGCATGTAATTGTCTTATATCATGTCTGAGAGTCGGTAAATCTGCTCAATAGCAGTTCACCATAGCACCATAAAACTCACACCCATCGGAAGCTGGAGAGCCTGCCCCAAACTCAGGATGTGTGTCTGCCTACAGAGCCTTTGGGAGAAATCAGGGAGAGAATTTCTATTTTTGGAGAGATGTCTAACCTCTTTGGAGATTCACGAGACCAGAGGGCAGAAGGTCCAGGCATAAAAGGCATGGGAATAGGGCATGTGGTGCTCTCCAAGGTGCTGAATCCAATTCTGCGCTACAGTAGTGGGTACACCAACCTGAGGCGCAGGGCTTAGGGCTCAGATGTCCCATGGAATTTGGAGCCAGGTGAGGAACAAGGTGCCATGGGAGAGAGAAACAGAAACAGATTCTAGCAATCTGCCAAGGTGACAGAGGGGAAAAATGGAGATTTTTGGTTTATCATCATTCAAAAAGAATCTTTTTCCAATAAAGAAACTACAATCAACCACAATAAAAAATTGAATGATTGGAAAGGGATCTGTATTTTCAGCAATAGGGCAAATAAAAGGGAGACAAACACCAACCAGGTGGTGCGGCCAGGTGGACAGAACCTCACCTGGCAGGAGAGAAGAACCTGGAGTGTCACAGTCAATTTGGCTGTGGCAGAGTGCTCACAGTTGTCCTTAGTTTTTCTTGCCCATCTTGAAGACAAAGATGTGATTTTTACATTGCTGGAGGACAATCAGAACTGGGTCTTGAGTTAACATCACTTGGTTTGGGATGGACGAGTATCTGACATCATGTTCTTACCTCTGGGCCACTGTTCCTCCCTGCACCACAGCAACCAATATACCTGGAAGGGGCTGGACTTGAACTCCTCATTCAAAACATCCAAACCAGGCTCTGAGAGGAAATCTCAGAGGAGGGTAAGTCCACCTGCCTGACACGACTACCCTGGCTCCCTCCACCCAAACCTCCTAGACTGCTGGTGGGTGTGAATCTGTCTGCTCTGTCCACATTTCTGATGAGAAGAGGTGAGATTAGGCTGGGGAATATCAGCAGGGCCCCAGCCCTGGCCCCATGTAAGCCAAGATCTTGGCGTCTTTCCTGTTCGGCCCCAGAGGAGCAGACGGTATGACTTATGTCCACGTTCTTTTCAACTTTGTCTAAATACGCTCATCCTTCAACCCTAATTTCTTGTTGCATTTCTACGGTAAGCTTACTAACAACAACAACAACAATAATAATGATCACAACTATCATTTATTGGGTGCTTACACGCATCGGGCATCATGGTTAGCTCCTTGCAAACATTATCTCAGGTAACAAACACATTAACGTGTCTGTTAGGTGATTCAATCAGGGAACTAAGAAGTAAATTAGTCTATTCTAATAATTCAGGTGTGAATTATCTCCTTGGTGGATTATAAAGGCAAAATTGTAATGCCCTGCTCTTCACAGGGCTTCTACTCCACTTTCCCACTAGCTGGAGGGTGTTCAGGGAGCTCATGTTAAACACTATAAATGTGAAAAGCATCAATACAGTACCAAGTGTTCAACAAATGTTGGCCGATATTAATCTTATATTTAGATAAACTGAAAGCTCAGGAAACACCACAATAGATCAGTGATTCTAACAGTTTTACATTTCACAGATCAGTAAAAATCTCACCAAAAAAGAAAAAAAAAGCCGTAAGACCGACAGGCTAATGCCAAGTCTTACTGTATCAAGCAAAGACATTAAAAGCCACTCTCTCCCACCCTAAGAGATAGGATATTTGAACATCAACAAAGGCAAGTGGGCCAGTGACAGAATTGACAAATCTTTAAAAATAAATACATTTAAAATAAAAAGCTCACAGCACTGTATTTTGAAAGAACAGAAAAGAACCCTCTCATCCACATAAACCAGAAGTGGTCTGAAGTAAAGTTGTAGAAACTGAGTGTCTGAACCTCAGTACACACACAGCTAGCCTCTCCTATGATGATCAAGCAGAATTCCGGATCCTCGCCCAGCCCAGCCCCCAGCCCCAGGGAGCCATGATTAACACAGCCCCAGACACTGGGCCAGGCCCAGGCGGGGTGGAGACTCATCTGATTAACCGGCCATCAACAGCAGACAGACAGCCCGGAGCCCGGCGCAGACCATTCAAATAATGATCATCATAAACAGCCCATTTGCAACTAAAAAGAAATAATTTTAATGAGCTTGAAGCAGATGATAGATGCAGCTGAGGCTCGTGCCAATGTGCAGAGAGAAAGGAAGCTGGGATTGAGCTGCACCCAGGACCAGGAGCAGCATGAAAAAGCTGGGGTGGCAAGGAAGGGCTCTTCTGATGGGAGGGACAGCCCTGTTGCTAGCCTGCTGTAAGTGCCCACTGCCTGGGGAATGCCCCTAGCTCCAGGTGCTGGGCAACTTGCGGGCTTAGACCTCCAAGGCACTCAGAATCTTGGAACGTCTGAGCCAGAATCACTGTCCAAAGTTCAACTGCACACACTCCTCTGCATGCATTTTGCCATATTGATATTCCACATGAATTTCTATTTACTTAATATTTATATTTTCTTTTTTAAAAGATTTTATTTATTTGTTTTTAGAGAGGGAAGGGAGGGAGAAAGAGAGAGAAAAACCATGAATGTGCGGTTGCTGGGGGCCATGGCCTGCAACCCAGGCATGTGCTCTGACTGGGAATCAAACCTGCGACACTTTGGTTTGCAGTCTGCGCTCAAGCCACTGAGCTACGCCAGCCAGGGCTAATATTTACATTTTCAAAACAACTCCTATTTCTTTCTTTTTGATTAAGATGTGCAGAGCTTCAAGTTCAATTTTAAGACAAGCTTTTACATCCTTGTAACCACTGCCCAGATCAAGGTATAGAATGTGCACATTCCTAGCACCTCAGCAGGGTACTCCCGCCCCTTCTAGTGAGCACTGCTTAAAGGTAACCAGTATTCTTACCCGAGCATTAAGGATAAGTTTTGTCTTCTCTTGACCTGTATGTAAAGAACCTCTTTTTTAAAAATCTAAATACATGCATTCGAAAAAGAAATGTTTAACGACTAGAGAATCCTATGCCACAAACAGATCGTAGTGGTTAAAAGAAAAGTACAGTGAAAACAAAGCATTGATGCCTGTCATTGTTATAATAGAGGGTTGCTTGGCAAGAGCTGGAGAGGCGTTACAGGTAGTGTGCTGCCAGACACAGACTTTCCTACCGTCAGAATGAGAAGGAATGGAAGGGACCGAGGCAGTACAACCCACTGCTCCTCCTGACGTGAGTCAATCCCTTCTAAAGCCAGACCTACTTACTGCTGATAACCATCTCATGCCGTCAGTGGGTGCACGCCCCACACTTCGGCAAACACTGATTGGACTGGATTCTTCCATTGTAGAGATGAGGAAACAGGAGCAGACAGCTTAGGCTGCCTGCCCAAGCCACAGAGCGGATATATGAGGCTGGATTTCTTCAGAGAGGACGGTGGGTATTGGGTGGGGAAGAAAAACTGTTGGTTACCTATGGGGAGGCAAGTTCAACTGTCTCCCCAATGAGGAGAGATTGGGAATCGCATTACAAGAATACATAATTTTGAAAGAAATTTAACACCTGATCCTTAAGTGTCAACTCCGTACACAGTTTTGAGCTAAATGCTGCATTCTTTTTTTTAAGATTTAATTTATTTATTTTTAGAGAGAGGAAGGGAA